GGTCTGGGCTTCGGAATCGATGCCGGCTGCTACTTCACTTGCTCTTCTAACAGATACACGATCAATTCGTAGGTGGACAGGACGATAGCCGTGTTCGGGATTTGCCTCATCAGCTGGGCAAAAAGTCCGCGGTAAAAAGCAAAATATCCTTCCTCCTGGAATACCAGCCGGGCCGTCTGGAGGAAGGATTGGTACTTGGTTCCTTCCTCGCGTAGCCTTGTCCGGATGACCTCTGGGGAAAGGGGAGAAGGCGAAATGTCAGCACACCAGCCTGCATTTAAATTCAGCCCCGATTTGTGGGTGGGGTGGGGGGGTGGCATAAAAATCTATAAAAGGGGCTCTAGCCTCCACCGTTAAGAAGGTTCCAAATCCAGAAAACATCTAAAAATGAACAAGCCTGTTAAAACATCTCGTGAGGTACCGCAAAGCACTGTTATTAACAAAATCCACATTTTCTATTGCACGGGGGATGCCAAATTTGGCTACGCTTACGTGTTAAGACACCTTAATCCCCCCCTACCTTCCTGCAGGAAAGTGCAGTTGTTTTGTTGGGGGGGGGAACGTTCCAGAGCAAGGTGTGCTCAGAACAATAAGGACTAGAAACCTGATTTTTCACAACAAGAAGAGGCAAATTCTTGGGAGTGGTGCAGTGGGCTAGAGGCAGCGCTCTCGCCTCCCAATCAGGAGGCTGTGAGTTCGATCGTAGGTAAAGGTAGATATTTTTCTCTGGGCATACTGAGAATGTTATCTGCCAAACAAAACTCCGCATCGGCAACAGGAAAGGCATCCGGCCATTCAACCACACTGCTAGCTCCATTCAGTGGCCCAGACTCCACCCCGCAAGGGATTATGGGGTCGTTAAGAAGAAGAGGCAAAATCCTTCCAGGCCTGGCTTCTCTTGGTTCAATAAAAGGGTTTAGAGAAGTGGACGACAACAGGAAAAAAAAAACCTACCGTGTGGGTAAGCGATGCAGGACGCGCATCCTTTGGAAACGGCGGCAGCAACCGTGATCCCGAGGAAATGGGAGGAACTCTTCTCCGGGTTTCCCGTGAAAGGAGACCGGCTGGGATCTTTTAAGAGTTGCTTCAGTCTCTCATAAATAGCGAAGCAGATGATGGTCTCGGAGATGCCCGCGTAGGAGGCGGTGAGGCCTCGGTAAAAACCCCGGACCCCTTCCGAGCGGTAAACATACTGGGCACATTGGAGGGTGTTCATTTGCTTTGAGCCACGGACTCTAGAGCAGGCAGAGAAGGATCAGCAGATGAGCGGTTGGGTTAGCCGGATTTTAAATCGTTTAAACGGGGCCTATCCTGGTTTTTACATCTAGTCAGTAAGCCAGGGGTGCCCTCATTCCCAGTTCTATCCCTCTCAAAACAGAAATATATAAATTTATATCTAAAACTAACTCGATACCCGTGCTTTGCTATAAAACTATACGGTGGGACTTAGATTTGGGGGGAGGAAAATAAGGGGGAAAAATTCTGCCTCTGCCTACCAGCATCCATCAGCATTCACCTGGCTAGCATGTGTGAGAGAATTGAGGGCTGTTTGGAAACTTGTGCAGTATTTGCTGTGTGAGCAGGGAGACAGCAAGGAGCCTGGGCGTGGCTTAGCTTAACTGTTCTGTACTAAGGCTGCTTGGTGAACTGAAACTTAAACTCTCCCCTCCTCTGCTTGTGTTTTGCATTGGGAACAGATTTCTTTTCAGGTGGAGAAGGGGAGTAGAACTCCTTAGCATCAGAGTATAATAATAATAATAATAATAATAATAATAATAAGAAGAAGAAGAAGAAGAAGAAGAAGAAGAAGAAGAAGAAGAAGAA